CTGACTCCAGTATTGAGTAATGATTAATCTAAGACCTTATACATACATGTCTGCCTAAAGGTCACCTAGATAAAACAAGGAAATTAAAAGTAAACACCAGAAACAATCAAGCAGCTCAGACAATTGTAAATAATTCTGGGTATTATGTTTAATTATTGTAATCCACAATGTGAATGCTTACTATGTGTAAAATTCTCAATAAAAAGGGAGCACTAGAAATTGCTCTAGACTCCCATCCCGAGTTCACTCGCTTGTGTCTCATCCTTTCCATGGGAGTCCACCACACCTTAGACTGTCTACTATTGACCTCACCCCTTTCCTAAGAGATCTGTAGGGGTCGTTGAATAAGCGCACCAACGTGCCTACCGTCCCTGTCTTATTGTTTCTTTTTTTATGTTTTATTTTTCTTATATGTATCCATGTATTCATAACTATGTTTTTACTTATACCTATTATCTTGTAAGCAATTGACAAACCAAATAAATAAATAAACAAACAAACAAACAAACAAACAAACAAATAAATAAATAAATAAATAAATAAATAAAATACTTGTGACTAGGGTAGCCCTTTTTCAGAAAATGAATTTGGACAGGAATCAACTTAACATGTGCTACTAATTTCTAATATAATCTCTAATAACTCTAATATAATATAATGCCAAGTCCTAAAGCTGTCAACCCTGAAGCTGTTCTGGCTGTGTGTGTGGGGGGGGAGGTATTCCTCTTTCCTTTTTTATAGTTTTCTAATAGGGGTTCTTTCATGTAGCTTCAGGCTTGGAGCTGAAGGGGAAGATTTAGTAACTAAAACAAACTAGTTCATTCCTGTGTCAAGGACATTCCAACTGCCGGCTGGCTGGAGGTGGAGGAAGGAGTTACCAGTGCCTGGATTGGACAATGTGACATTGTTTTGGGGAAAAGTGAAACTGTCAGTTTTATTTCTGTGGAAACCCTGGGAAAATTCAGAGTTGGATTTCCACCAGTTAATGCCAAGATGATGTCTCCTAAATAAAAACTGTTATTTGAGAATCTGCCTCTAAGTTCTATTTTGAAATGGAGTCAATACTTGGAAGGTTAAGCCAGCTCTCCAAAATTCTCCGCTCCCATGGGAGTTACTCTCCAGGGTCCTGAGCATTGGCTGCTCACTTGGTGCACCCAGGGAGCAGAAAGATTCATGGAAGATTGCAGAATGCAGGAAGAAGGGGAAGACATCAAAAGTTGCTGTGCAGACTGCCCGGAGAGGTGTCAGACCCCCTCAGGCAGGCAGCAGTTAGCGGAAGCTACAGCGGACACCCAGCCTAAAGTCTGCATCAAGATGCCACTCATGCTGGGTGGAGGACAGATTCTGATACCAAAGTTCCCTCCGGGGACACGTGAGAGACTGCCCAGGGATGCCATGGAGGGAGCCGCTTGCCAATGGCAGCCCAAGTGAGTTGGGGCTCTGGATGAAGTCGCACAACCAGAGCCCGAGACCAGAACAGTGTCTGCTGGGATGCTATGGAGGGAGTCAGCAGCCCGATCACCTGATATCCCAGCCAGGGAACAAGTGCTGACCAACTGGGTTTGCCACCCTAGCTATGGTAGGCTTCAGGTAGAGTGGGTCATTACTCCAGCACCACTGCTAACCCTTACACCAGCCCCTTCACCCTATTGGCTTGCAGCCATGCCGAGAATCTGAAGCCAGCCCAGGAAGCAACCACTCAGTTGGCAATTCAGGCTGCAGCCAATGAGAGAGCCAATGAGAGAAGCCTCAGTATGGCCCATGGGAAGCTCCCGCGGTGGCAACCAAGACCCTTGGCCATGGGTCATGTTGGGTCCGGAGGAATCAGGATCCTGGGAGTCCAAAGTTGCATCTCGCAATGAAAGCCTGGGCCTCGAATGGAGCCCGCCAAGATGCTGCTGAGGTAGCAGTCTACAGCAGTCCACTGTGCTGGTTCCTTTGCCCCCTCAGCCTGAAGCTCTGTCACAGATTCAATGCAAACCTCCGAAGTGCCCACTTAGCCAACAACCCTTGTCTTGGGAATCCAAAGAGCTACCAAAAGGGCCCTGCCCATGGCCTGCTAAATATGCCTGTGGTGGTCATCAAGGCCTCCAAACAGTGGGGGACTGTTTGGTAGTCCCCAAACCCCATCCACAGTTGGGGACTACTAAGCCAGTCAGGGAAACGAAGTCACCACCAAGGATGATAGAAAGAGGAAGCCTTGCCCTGCAGGCCATTGAGGTCTCTCCTCCCCCAAATGGGGAAGAGGGAACTCCAGCCCAAGAACCCTGGTGACCTACGATACCAATGACAAAAGTGAAAATGACCGGATGGTAAGTGAAGCCATCTGCCCATTTGCCATCCAGTCGAAAATAGTGGCGCCTAAGACAGGGGCACAGGGGAAAGTGGACATGATCATAGACAAAAGCTGCACCCACTGTCTGATCAACTTATCCACAGTCCTAAAGCTGGGAATCAGGATGACAATGACTTGACCCCATACGATTTTAGCAAGTGAATGGATCGCTGATAGGTGGGAGCCCTGCCACACTCCTCACTGAACCAATAAGGCTGGAAATGGTCCAACACTGGGAACGTATCTGCTTCATGGTGGCACCAAAAATGAAGGAAGCGGTGATCCTAGCCTGGCATGGCTGGACAAGTGGGGTCCCACCATTTCCTGGGGAGATGGTTACAGAAAGCTAAAGCTGGGAATAGGGCCCAATCACCCTTGAGAGGTTGCTGAAAGAGGGGTAGTCCAATAACAGAGTGGCGCCAAGCAAAGTGAAAGACCCACTGCCGTCTCAATGCTGTCTCCCCACGAATCTCAGATCGCTAGAGAATACGGGTCCTGGCGGAAGTGTTCAGTAAGGAGGAATGTAATGTACTACCTCCCCACCACCTCACAGACAGTGCCATAAAGTTCATACCCGGGGCTAAACTACCCAAGCCAAAGATGTACTCCATGAGCCCAAAGAAGATGAGGGAGCTAAGAGAATACATTGACACCAACCTCACCCGCAGATTTATCCAACCAGTTAAATCCAGAGTAGCTACCTCAGTCCTCTTTAAAGAGAAAAAAGATGGGTTGATGAGGCTATGCATAGACTTCAGGGGAGTCAATGCCATATGCATAAAGAACACCTACCCACTTCCGCTCATGAAGGACATGTTGGCTCACCTGGCTAATGGGAAGGTGTTCACCAAATTGGACCTGCGAGAGGCATATTACTGGATACAAATCAAAGAAGGGGATGAGTGGAAAATGGCATTCAACTGCCCTTTAGGGAGTTTCCAGTTCAAGGTGATGCCTTTTGGCCTGCAAGTAGCGCTGGCTGTATTCATGCAGCTAATAAATGAAGTGCTGCATGAGCACCTGAATAAGGGAGTTCTCGTGTACTTAGATGACATTCTTATCTTCCCTGAGACACTAGAGCAGGGGTTCCCAACCTGGGGTGCTCACACCCCCTGGGGGTGCGAGACGATATTCCAGGGGGTGCAAGAAAAGTCCAGGTAAATAATAGGATATTGGCTATATGTTGGCATTTTTATTTATTATTTATTTCAGGGGGTGCGAGGTTCGAGTGAAATTTCTTTAGGGGTGCGGGGCGAAAAAAAGGTTGGGAACCACTGCACTAGAGGAACACGTGAAGCTGATTCATCAGGTGCTGGAAAATCTTCTTGCAGCTAAGCCGTATGCAAAGCTGTCGAAATGTGAGTTCCATAAGACCTGCATGGTCTTATGGACTACCAAGTGTTGATGGAGATGGACCTGGCTAAAGTCAAAGCTGTTCTGGACTGGCAACCCCCATGGACATGGAAAAAATATTAGACTTGAGGATATTTAGGGGTCAGTTGCAGTATTTGGTGCACTGTAAGGGATACCCCATTTTGGAGGCAACCTGGGTGAAGAGTTGGAAGGTGAATGCAGATAAAATAGTGAAGCAATTCCATGACAAATACCCACAAAAACCAAAGGGTCCTCCTGGGGGAGGGAGACGGGGTTAGGAATAATCCTTAATTAACCTCACTGTGCTCTGTCTCTCTTTGCAGGAGGGTTCCTTCCAATAGGGAGGGCAGCTTGTCAACCCCGAAGCTGTTTTGGCTGTGGAAGGTGGTGGTTTCCTCTTTCCTTTTCTGTAGTTTTCTAATAGGGGTTCTTTCACATTGCTTTGGGCTTGTCAAAGCTTGGAACCAAAGTGGGGGATTTGGTAACTAAAACAAACTAGTTAATTCCTGGGTCAAGGACATTCCAACTGCCGACTGGCTGGAAGTGGAGGAAGGAATTGCCAGGCAACCAAGCCAGTGTCTGGATTGGACAATGTAACTTATTGTTTTGGGGGAAAGTGAAACTGTCAGTTTTATTTGGGTGGAAAGCCCGGGAAAATTCAGAGTTGGATTTCCACCAGTTAATGCCAAGATGATGTCTCCTAAATAAAAACTATTCTTTGAGAATCTGCCTCAACGTTCTATTTGAAATGGAGTCAATACTTGGAAGGCTGACAAAAGACACTTCTTAATACAGGGATGGGATCCGACCGGTATAACTACAGGTTCTGTCACTCTGCATCGCGTGCACATGTGCAAGTCACACGAGTGACGCGAGTGCAATTTATGACCTGCTGAGCTGCCCGGACAGCTGAGCAGTGCTGCGTGCAAGTGCACAGTGGTGGGAAAAGCCGTTTTTTTCCTACTTTTTCAACCGCAGCTGTGTTGCGCAAAGCAGCTGCGGTTGAAAAAGCAGGAAATAAAGGTCAGGTAAGAGCCCAGGCAGGCGGGTGGGCCAAAACAGCAGCAGACATAGAACCGGTTCTATTGTATGCTCTCTGCTGCTTTTCAGAGCAACCGCTTCTACAGAAGTGGACAGAACCGGTAGAATCCCACCCCTGTCTTCATACTTTCAACTGTCTTCTCAGAATGTGTCATCCATTTACACACATAAAATTACACCTCCTTCACAGTAACTGTTATTGGAATATGTTATATAATACCAAAAATAAAATAAATCTGTTTTACCCTACCTCTTTTTTCTCTCTGCCAATTGCCTGCAGACTTCTTTCCATTGGGAATTCAAACTGTCCAATTGTTCTCTTAAAATGCTGGCATCTGTTGCTGATGATTGCTGAATAATCTTATCTCCATCTATGTTCAAATTTCTGACAACAGCTTGCTGCCTCTCAATATCATCCTGAAGATCCTGCAAGGTACCGAATAGTCTAATTAAACAAGAAAGCAATCCCCTTATCCTTCATTACAAATAAAAAATGCTGTGAGAGATGTAGTTACAGTAAATATACATAATATAATCTTTTTTTTTTTTTTGGTCTTTAAATACCAAATTTATCAACAGTGATAGTTTTTTTTACAAGCATGAATTATTTTCAGATATGTTTCCCTTATGATTTTTGGCACACTATAGAAGATTACATAGAAAAAATTTAAAATATATATATAAAAAATACAAAACATCAACTAATCTGTTAGGAATTTGAAAGTGATTTATATTCCACCACATGGCAAATACATGCAGATAAAACACACTTATAGGCCAGTATAGCAATCAGCATTTTTAAACTGTGTCTATAGATCATTTGCACAAGTTTTTTGTTTTAATGCTGCCTTAAATGACCTTATAAGCCCATATATTGCTCCACATATAGTGATTTTGAACAACTAAAACTAATTTAATTTCAACACAAGTTGCTAAATTATACTATTGATAAGATTAGCTCTAAATGTGGCCTGCATTGAGATATCATACTCTCATCTGATTGATCTGATAATAGTTTTAAATTATCTTACCAATCATTATATTAGTCAATGATATAAATATTATTTAATTGTGATGGAAAATATTTTAAAGAGGATAATAGCATTCATGGGTGATAAAAAAATACAAGATGGTGGTAGCATCAATATAATTGAAGCCAAACTTCTTTGTTCATGTACACAATACTGATCCATAAAACAAAAGTGATAGGTTTTCAATCATGCTGGTGTGAAACCATAAGATTTCAAAACTTACATTTAGCTTAGAGTTCAACAAAGTTGAATTTTACACAAGCTAATATATATAAAAATATAGCATAATACTCTTGTTCAACCCTCAATGGCAAATCATAATGCTATTACTATCTATGACAATTAATCCAGATTGTAATACTTATGATTTCTAATTTAGATCTTAATGAATTTTGATATAAATTTTAACTAACTTGATTGTATTTCTGAAAAAAATATGTTTATAACAATTGCCCAATCACAAACTACTAGCAATAATTGAACTATAACACTATCACGTTCTGTGAACATTCACCTAGATTCTAAATATTCTGCTAACAGAACAACTCTACATTCATTCCATCATTTGTCCTTAGGTTATTGTTTGGAATCATGTGCTAAAATAAGGATACTATAAGATTTTATTGGTGGTATGATGTTATTATATTATTACATTTTATTTGCATATTATTGACTTCAGTTTTTGAGGTTAAAAAGATATAAATGTATATATGTATAAAATGTATGAGAGAGGGGGCGGGGAGGGAGAGGGAGAGAGAGTTATTTTTTATTTTTTATTTTTTTTGCCATTATCAGCCGTGGATTCTCCAACATGGGTTTCTACAGCGTGCTTGCTATCGGCTGCCATAGAAATGGGGAGGGGAATGTGGGCATTTGGAATGGGGAAGTGAGCTGGTATGTAGCAGTCCCATGAGAACTGGGAGGTTTGTAGTCATGAATTATGGCACTGCTGAGTGGAGTTGTTTATACTCTGTCAAGACCAACCATCCTGAGACTCCAGATGCATAAAATACCTGAAGAAAAGCTTTACCACAATATCATACTGGATGTTGATTGGACTCTTAGTGCTGGACCCTGAGGGGATGGATTTGTGGTGACTTTCAATGTGTAACCTTTGCACATTTTGAATCAGATCTTGCCTTGCTTTTGCTGCTATCATTTCAAACTTAGTAAAAGAACCTTTTTTCCAATTCAATGGAGTTGGGGGTTTTCTTTCTTGAGTTTTGAATGGAGGCAGGCCTGACAGCCATACATACATACATGCATGCATGCATGCATACATACATACATACATACATACATACATACATACATATCTCCGGCTGGACTTCTATCACTGTCAGAGTGCGGTCCGCAACCACCGTAGCTTGGTTCCAAGCTACCTTGGAGGGGTGGCGAAGAAAGGGGGACCGCCTGGAAGGTAAAGGAGAGCTGCATCTCTCCTCCCTGACACAGAAAACCCCCTCATCCAAAGATGAGCTGCAGCAGCAACTAAAATGACTGCCATGAAGATGGGGACAGTCTGAAGACCTAAGACTGTGCAGGAGCAAAGAGATGGTGAATGGTGTGTGAACTGGGTGAAAATACTTCTGAATCGTTAAAAGTAACCCTGATCAAAATATCAGGAAAGAGAGCTCACAAGGACTTTTGGGAATTGGCAGTGATTTATTATGGGAGAAGAATGAATAGAATACAAAGAATTTAATTTTTTTTAAAAAACCCAAAGACAGGAGGAAAACAAAATAAAGAAAGAGAACTTTTAAAAATAATAGTTGAAAATTGGAATTGGTAATCATACAGTATTTGGGGCGGGATAGGCATTATTTAGAATGCTGTAATTGACTGGAAAATATATATATAATTTACTTTTGGAAATATCAGTAAATTTAATGAAAGGCTAAAGAAAAGGTGGGGGGAAAGGTGGTGTGATGACCCAGAGTATATCAAAAATATAACAAAAAACAAAACATAAATAAAGGTCCTTTAATGCCTTCAACTTGGCTTCACTGTTTAATTGTTCACAGTTGAAGATTAAACTATTTTCAAAATAACATTCCAAACAAAAGAAACACAGTTCAAATTCAAAGAGCAGATAATGAAGCAAAAACCAAAAACAAACCACACCGAATAAAGTTCCACGACAGACCAGGATAAATGATTACAAACATCAGGAAGATAGCTAGGTACAGTCCTTTGGAAGAATGCCAACCAAGATAAAACTGATCTAGGAATAAAACACTAATTTGTCTCCAGCGTTTGTTAGCATGCACGTCAAAACTCTTATGCAGATCTCACACCTGCAACCCATGAAGAGGATCATGGTCCTCTTCTCCCAAGTAGACCATGTTTTTCCCTGATTCTGTCCTTCAAAGTCAGTCTCCACCAGGGGTATGACACTATCCCCCCCACAGGGCCCCCTCCCCTGGGACCAGGTGGATGAGGACGTTGAGGAAACCGAGCATGGAAGTCATGAACCAAACTAGGAGCATGAACATCAGTGGCATCGACCCAGGTGAAGTCCTCTGGTCTTTCCATGCCACCAAATACTGCCACCTTTCCATGCCACCAAATACTGAAATCGGCCCTGCAACTGGCGTGAATTTCGGATGCTATCCACTTTGTACTCTGCCTCTCCCTGAGGGGCTACCGGGCTCAGTGGTGGTGGAGCTGATCTATGTGGACTGTTGGCCGATACATGGACTAACAGGGAGTGATGAAAAGCAGGATGGATACGCAGAATCCATGGCAGGGAGAGACAAAAAGGCACAGGATTGATCACCACCTCGACTGGAAAAGGTCCCAAGTAATGGTGATCAAGCTTTTTTGATGGCCGCAAACCGCTCCAACAGAATCACCATCCGGGGCAAGATTTTGTCCTCCCTTCAGGTATACTTGGGCTTCCAGGATAGTGCATCAGTGCATTGATTCCACCCACTCAGAACATAGGTCACCCGGAAATCAAATCAGGCAAAGAACAACGACCATCTCACCTGATGCTGGTTCAGGCATTCCAAATTACGATGATCTGTCCGAACCTCAATCTGATGACGAGCCCCCTCCAGGTGGTGCCCCATGTCTCAAAAGTGACCTTAACTGCCAATAGCTCCTTGTCCCAGATTGTATAGTTGCGCTCTGGAGCTGACAACTTTCAAGAATAATAAGTGCAAAGGAACAAGGTGCCTGCAGGAGCATAGGCCTGGAGGAGCACTGCACCAACAGCCACATCTGAAGCATCTGTTTCCACCACAAATGGCTGGAATGGATCAGGGTGTTTGAGGATAGGTTCGGAAGCAAAGGTGATCTTCAGGGCATTGAAAGCTGCCTGCTCCTCAGCACCCCAATGAACTTCTCCCCCTTTTTGAGCAGATTAGAAAGGGAGCAGTCAAGGCAGCAAAGCGGGGAATAAATGTGCGGTAGTAGTTCACGAACCCCAACAATCGCTGCACATCCTTAACCCACTGTGGAGGTTCCCACGCCTGTAACATCTTGATTTTTCCCGGGTCCATTTCTACCCCGGCAGGTGAAATACGATGACCCAAGAAGTTGATTGTGGTTTGTGCAAACTGACACTTCTCATGCTTAGCGAACAGGTGGTTATCGCGCAAGCATTGCAATACCAGCCGCACATGTTGCCAATGTTCCTGCAGGGAGGCCAAGTAAATTAAAATGTCATCTAGATAAATAACCATGAGCTGATCCAATAAATCACGGAAAACATCGTGCATGAAATGCATGAACACAGCTGGAGTGTTGGTTAATCCAAAAGGCATCACGGTATACTCAAAATGGCCATACCTCGTCCGGAAAGCCCTCTTCCACTCCTCTCCTGCATGAATGCAAACCAGGTTGTAGGCCCCACACAAGTCCAACTTTGTGAAGATCTTAGCTTGACGAAGACGCTCAATCAGTTCAGGGATGAGGGGAAGTGGGTACTGATTCTGTACTGTGATTGCATTCAACTTGCAGTAATCACAGCACAGACATAGTTCCTCTGATTTCTTTTTTACAAAAAGCACCAGTGCAGCCAATGGGGAGGGAGAAGGCCGGATAAACCCTTTCCGGAGGTTCTTGTCAATAAAATCCTGCAACGCGGCCAACTCTGGTTCCGACAGGAGTATATCCGACCCACCGGCAATTTCGCATCAGGCAACAAGTCAATTGGACAGTCATATGACCGATGTGGAGGCAACTGATCCACCTCCTTCTCCCCAAACACATCAATGAAGTCCACCAACTCCGCAGGTAGATCCAAGTCCATGGGCATAGCCACACCCCCTGCACAGGAGTGCAAACAATGGTTGGCACACTTCCTATCAAGAAACTGCACAGCTCCAGACAACCAAATGATCTGCAGATCATGGGCCTGTAGCCACTCCAAACCCAGCACCACTGGAA